GCGGCGCGGCGCGGCGGGACCGGAGGGGGGCACGAGGTGGGACGCGACGGCCGCGAAGAGAGAGGGGACCGCAGCCCGGCGCCGCTGCGTGTCATTGCTGGCGCCAGCTAATTGTCGAGGCCAGCCGGCATTAGCCGAGGAGCTGACCGAACTGAGTCGAACTCCACGAAAGCAGGCAGGCAAGCAGGCGAACGAGCAGGCAAACGACGAGTACCCGACCCCCGACGACGACTTGGGTCGCGTTGTGCGGTCGAACAATCACGCCGACTGATTCTTTCCCTAATTCCTCTCAGGCTTATTATATTGGCTATATAGTGTGTAAAAGTCCCTGGTAATGAATAGATCTCCCATGCGAAATGAAATTAATTGTTTCGTCCTTAGCTGCTTCTTCTCTTAACGGTGCCATTGGAAAATGAGATCTCTCCAGCTTGTTTCTTACAATGGATTCGTAAGTCGTAAGCCGTAAGAAGTTGGCCAATCATAGTTGAATACGAAGAGAATAATCGCGATCATGATTGGCTAATTTCTTACGACTTTATTGTAGAACAGGCATTATCAGTGGTGAATTCTCGTATAAGAATTTAACATAATTTTCAAGCGTTTGTAATTTTCCTCGACATTTGCTGACAAAATGATTAGAACTCGATCTTTATGCATAATCGCTTTAATATCAGAGTGTATGGTACCATAATTTATTGCACATTTTCTGGGGCAAATAGTATAAATACATCTGCTGCTTGCAATACTGACCTTCGATCGTTGAAATTTTTGAGAATCATCGGAATTGGGGACAACGAAGGCGTCCGGAATCTTGGCTGGTACCGATGTGTTTATTATATTCTCAATCTCTAGGACGCGCGTGTTAGTGGTTCGACGGATCGGGAATAGGTTTCCTAGGAATTCGAGTTCTCTCTCGCTGCGCATCGCGAAGAATTCCGAAGGCACTTTAGAGTCCGTTGTTTAAAACAAAGACTGACCACGCACTGAAATGATGTTCCGCTCGGGTCTCCACACGTTGGTATTCGCGACGATTATCGCGTTTCCATGCCGTATATATTATATAAATCAAAATTCTACAGTGTCTTGTAAAAAAAAAAACACTCGATATTATTCAAGAAATAATCAGAACTATCGAATTTTAGGGTGTTATAATTTCAAACATATCAAAAGAAATTGCGTCGTAATACATATGCCATCTTTTTTACCGATTTTACATATTTTTTTATGTGCATTGGAAAAAGTTTACTAAATCTTAATACGCATATATTCTTTAATAGAATAGAATAACGGAGTAAACATTTACTTACAGTAAATAAATATTTATGCAATAAAGTGATAATTAAATGAAATTGATGGTTCTTGTGCCAAAAATAAATATTTACTTCGAACCGCTCAGATAAGCGTTCGTTCAAAATTTAGTACACTTTTTTCATTGTATACACGTTTATTTTAGTATACCGTGACGCATGCGTTATTTAGCCCACATCGCTCGAAATAACGCGCGTATTCAATATGCAATGACGCGTGTACGGCGAGCGGCGATCGCGCCGGCGGCGCTCGCCTATTTTTCCCGTCGGCTCAATTTACGCGCAACCTCGCTGGCTCGCAAACAGACACCGGACGCCGACCATTGTCAGCGCGATCCGTCGATAACGTACGTTAATTTTCGCGTCGGATCGCGGCGTTTTATCGCGCGTAAATCGCTCCCGCGGTGGCGCCTTGTTTTCGTAACGCCGCCGTCTTTATCTGTTTCTTTTTTTTTTTTCTCCTGCGTTCGGTGGCCGTTCGTTCACACATTGCTGCGGCAAGCTAGTTAATAATTCATTCACGCCAGCGAATCGATTATCATCGGCCAGTCGGCGACGGCGGCTGTGTGTCGTCGTTACGCAAATCGTTGCGGCGGCGCAGGTTTTTATCACCGCGCCGCGCGATTCGGCGCGTAATGTGCGTGCGTGACTTTCTCCGCCGCTCCCTCTCCTCCCGCGCTCCGATATTCATTCATACTCGAAAGCGCGAGGAGGCGACTTTCGTACAGGGTAAGAGCAGAGTCCCTGGAGAGAATCTGGCTGGCCATGCACACAAAATGGCGTGTGTGTTTGGTATGAATGTATGCTACAGTTTGATTGGTAACGCCATTGTGAATGCATGCCAATCAAAAAAGGGGTCTAAGGCGATAGCCAGACTCTGAATGCGATCCAGTTTACGCTGAAAATGCTTTAAAGTATTTTTCGATTGGTGAACGAAAAATCAACGTTTTCAGCGTTAAATGGACCGCATCTTGTGTCTCTAGGGACTCTAATGCCCGTTTCTAACCAAGTAGAACTTGAATTCCAGTTCAACTAATTCTTTACCTTTTTTTTAGTTCTTGGAATTACAAAAAGATGAACAGTTAGTTGAAGATTAAAATTGAATGGAGAAACGGGTTAAACTCGGTTCTACTATTGTTAATCTTAATCCCGGTTCTATTTATTTTATCCTTTTCCTTAGCCTTAGGCCTCAATTGTTAGAATTGAAACCTAAGAATAAGGTAGGACTATTTTAAAAAACGAAGTAAGATTTTAATCCAAATTGAAGGTTTAAGTTTGGTAACTCATCATGTGAAAGGTACTGCCAACGATGTTTTTAGATCTGATAAATTTTATTTCATTAATAAATTTTTATTTTGTTTTAAAGAACCAGCAAATAGGAAAAAATCAAATTTAAACGTCAAAAATAAGATTCAAATCTTATTTCATTAAGAATTGTTCATCCATGTATGAAATTGTACCACTTTATGCTATATCTTTTTTGACGCGATTTATTAGAAATTATTGAAGAATGTATATACGACACGTGCATCTTTTTTTCTTTATTCGAAGACTATATTTTTCTATATCGTTCGCGTGCGGTATTTTTGTCTCGAGATCGATAGATAGGTAACGAGGACGATCGATTCATAATAAATGTAATAAAATTTATCTCCCGCGTCTGACAATCGCATAAACAGGCCTAGAAATAGGCGCGTCTCGATTGGAGGGAGACTCTCAGCGGCGCGAGTTACGTAACAGCCACGGGAGCGCCGCGCGTTTATTATAAGTGCCTTAATTAGGGGCTGAAATATCGCCGTTTAAATCGCGCTCCCATCTTGTTATTCAAATCGTGCCAACTCTGGTCCGGAGTTTGAAGTGTGTCGATGAGTGACATGCCGCGCCGGCTTTATTAAAGCTCGGCGGCGACGCGGCGGCCGGTCGACTCTGGAGAGGGATTCAACGGAGCATGATTGAGAGAGAGAGAGAGAGAGAATGATAAAGAGAGAAACGAGCCGCGAAGAGGATCCGCGTGTAGGCGCGACAGACGGCCATTACACGTCGACGCCGCGCCACGCACTTATTATCTAGGAATTTCGGCGCACTAAGTCATTAGTCGACAAATGTGTACTTTCCTCGAAAAGTGGCCCGGATGTTGTTTTAGATACGCCGATTCTAAATACAATATCGGATATGTGATTGTAATGATTTCGTAATTTATGATTTCAATTGTCGATTACGTAATATTATTATAGTTGTATATCTCAGAATTTTTAATGACACGATTGATAAAAACGGTCATAAAATAAATAAAACATCTAATTGTTTTTATCAAAAAACATACAATACTTTTTCTCCATGGAATAATTTTTGTAGTAGTATATATTTTTAGTGTGAAACAAATTTTTTAAATTATGTAAAAAAAAAATTTTTTAATTTGTGTAAAAATTATTCTAAAAAATTAAATGTTTAAATAAAATTAATTGATAGCAATGTTCAACTTAAGCTTGTCGATTGCAGTTATGCACGTACTACTTACACGCGTAGTCTTAGTGGGCTTCGAGTGACGCGAAGGCGGTTTCGTTCTCTTAGACACGGAGAGCGTCAGGTTACCTTGACGTTCGAGATATTCGCGTCGCGGTTTGTCCTCTATTACTTTCAGGGCGATACGTAAAAGGACGAAAAATGACATACCGGTTTCACTCTACACTAATAATAGAACTTACCATTTTTGGACTTCTCTAACTGGCGCCTGTCGTTTGTTACAATATATTTCGTGTCGCCATCGATGTCATTAATTTAATCAAAAATCACTGGAGCCTTGAGTCTGTTTTTCAATGCTCCACGATTGATGCGAATGTATTAATGCAAATGTATTAACAATAAGCACAGCGACTCCGACTGAAATTAACAGAAATTTTCTTATTGATATACTTTCTAAATTTCTTAGAATGAAATTTCACTCTACAGCCCGTTTTCGCAATATGGTTACCTAAAGATTAAAAATTACCAAGAGGTTTTTTAATGAAATTCATTCATAAATTTTTTAGTGACCTTTTATCTTTAGATAACTATATATTGTGAAAATGTACCTAAGAGTGTGAAAATACAGTTATTTTTGGAGAAGAGTGAAAATATATTTCGCTTTTTCAAAAACAATGATAACTTTCACTCTTTTTTGGAATGAGAGTTTACTCCAAGAAATTTCGAAAATTTTAATATGTTTTTATTCCAAGAAATTTAGGAAGATAACCCGTAAAAATAGTTATTCAGTATTTTTCACTATTTTTTGTATGTTCGAATTTTGAGGCAAAATGATTCAAAATTGAAAATTCTTTAGTCTTCAAATAACACAGTTAGATCACAGAGGGTTAATATTAATTTTATTATTATTTAGTATTAATATTAATTATTTAGATGAATAATTAATCTATATAATTGAAATAACGAGTTACTTTCTTAATTACATGCTATTAAAGGTACACTATAAATTACAGTTAAAAGTATTAAACTAAATTATATCATTAAAAGGTATTATAAAATGAAAAATATTTTTTTTTATATATATATATATTAAAATTTTACATTAAAATTTATTGAATTTATTAATAAAATATACGATGCATTGTCTATATACTTATATATCTATACATATATATCTATTTATCTAGTTCTCAGTCGTATCCATATAACGATTATCATTTTCTATTTCAGAGTCGCCACCACCCCCGTATTGCCTTATCGCCGACAGACTGAGACCCGAAGGTGAGTGTTTCGTCTTTGATGCCGTAATCAGGAATGTCTGTAATGGATGTGTGCGAGTGCCAGTATACATTCGTGTGTTTGTCTATATATGTGCGTTGTCTTCCCATACCGGCGATAACTCATGTTTATTGCTTGCAAACGTTTACCGTACAAGCAGCGAGGTTCGTCTCTCCTAGCGCGCGTGTCGTGTCTCATGACCTAGCCCAAAGCAAGGTTGGGGATAATCCGGGACGATTACGAGTGCCAGCGTTCCCATCTTTCGGAGTACAGCGTCGGTTAATCTCTGTGTGCGTTCGAGATTGCGCGAACAGTACGTAACAATTCAATTAAGAGATTGCTTAATTTTTTTGTCTCCGGCGTTAAGGAAATGAACCTATTTTTTTTTTATCAAAGCGGATCTTGGTGCTCAAATATTTCAGAGTGAAATTATATATATAAAGTGTGATAATTAAAATGTTCTGAAATACACATTTGAGCACTCCGCTTTGACCGAAAATTTATCATATTTCTCTTAATTGATTTTTTTTTTTGTCAGTATAATATGAATTACTATTTAAATACGTAAGGCCGGAACTTATTAGGAGTTCGTGACAGCTTACATTTTTATTCTCACCTAATATTATTCTCTTTTATCTGATATGTACGCTACGCTACTTTTATTTATAGCTCTTTTTCAATTTAAAACGAAATTCCTTTTTAACGTCATCATCACTCACAAATATAATTAATATATTATTAATAAATTTTCGTCGAGCACGAGAACAATAAAATCGTATAATATATCGATATCTATATTTTTCTTTGTGCCTCGAGAGAGCTCGAATAACACGAAAAAAAGTACAGATACCAAGAAGATCTATACGATGACAAATACACGGCATTCCAGTCGTACGACACAGAGGTTCTCACACTTTTCACGGCAGCACACCACTGTGGATTCCTGAAATGATAAATAGATCGTCCCGTCGCGAATAAAACCGACGATTTTATTAGATGGAGTTGAGCAAGAACAGACGCGCAGCGTTTGTAGAGGTTGGTTTACGATAGCATTCTAGTCACACACATCGAGGGTTCTCAACCAAGCGCACGATAATACGTATCTCATGGATGGAAGCTGCTCTTGCTTTTTGCAAGAAATCAAGAAAATATACACACTTCGTATGTGTGTGTTTATGATAGTTAAGAATATACAGTATTAGATGCGGGAATAAAACGAACTTATTGTTAGTTGAATGAAAAATCAATATAATATCTATCGCTTTCTATACGTTTACGATCGTGGCTACGCGCTGTAAGCCGATCTTGTTGATCACAATGTGCCGATAGATTTCATGATATCGTCGTTTCAGCGGTTGATCAATGTTTCCGCTAGTCAGTATACTGGTCCACCAGGTGGAGGCTGAGTAATCTCGTTTGCACGCGAAAACGCGAGACATCCTTTAACATTTAGCAGCAAAATACTTTTATTTGCAAAACTGTGTTAAAAAATAATTTTTATTTTTTAAAAGATTCATAATAATTGTTTGCAAAAGGATCAAAGTCACATCGTTTACTTTCCGAAATTATACTCTTGATACATCTTCGAGTGAATTTTGATTTATGGAATGCACAGTATCGTGTATCGTAGAATCGAATAGCTGATAGACATAAAGAATTGCTTCTTAATTCGCGCATAGATCTTGAAACAATACTTTCTGCAAACCACGTCTTATCCTCGCTCCTCCCCGCGTCATCGCTTTCCTCATCTGGTTTCGACTATCGTCTCCCGTGCGTTTCTCTCTTCTCTCCTTCCGCGGTCGAACCTAAACTGGTTCTCTCGGGATCGATGCGAACGCGCGAGTACTCAACACAGATCGACCGCACCGGTCATCGATAGATTCGCCTTTCGTCGAGAAACTTCTCGCAGGGGGGGAGGGGGGCATCGCGCGATTACGAGAATACGACAGACCTGTTGAATCCTCCCTTATACCTACATCGATAATTCTTTTTAAAGTCACTTTTAAAATACCATACGGAAAAAAACGATAACTTTTAACATTCTAACAATCAGCGTTCTACACAAGATGATATTTTGATGGTCCAACGAAATTATTTTTCAGATCTATATCAGCTGAATTTTCTGATCTCTCAGCAAAACCGTCCTTTCCGTGTATAACACACAAGACAATGGTATATTAAAATAAAATATCGATGTCGGTGAATAGGATATTTTTACCGTTTCTCTCGTTATTAAAATAGTAGCGAATGAATGTCTATCTCATCGATGTTAACGATATATGTGTGCCAAGCTTGATATGACGAAATAATAGCGCCTGCAGTTAGAGGAGAGCCGCACGTTCGCGATGACGTTAGGCGTGTGTATAGATTATATAGTGGACGCACTTACATATATAGTAGAGAGAGAGAGAGAAAGAGAGAGAGAGAGAGAGAGAGAGAGAGAGAGAGAGAAATACCGCTGGGAGCTTGGTGTGTTGTGTGTATACCGCCTGAGGTCAATATCTCCTGTCGATAGAGAGAGGACCGTGTGTCGTATCGTACGTACTTACTGCAAAGCGACTCGCATTTATACGAGTATAAAGGAGGATCCTGCCGAAGGTCCAGAGAGTTCTCGAAGGTATTATTAAATCCTCAGAGCGTGTTATAAATACGAATTCCACGTCGTTTTCATCGAGGTTGACGCACTTCAGCTCGAGTGATACAATCAGATCGTAGCTAACACGAACCAAAATCTACAGTTTACATTTTAATTTCTGTTTATTTAAAATTTCTTTTTATTTTTTACTGAATGACGTTTAGCGTCGCGATTATAAATTTCCGCTACACGGAAAGAACAGTTTTGTTATATAGAGTGTCTCCAAAAAGTTGTAAGACACTGATCTGAAAATAATTTCATTGGATCATTAAAACAAGTAATACTGTAAGAATATATTGATATTCAGACGAATAAATTTATTTTTAGATCGATGTCCAGCTAAATTTCTACATACTTGAGCAGAACCAGAAATAAAAAGGAATATATTTAGAAATTCTGAATAAAAGAGAGGAAATATAAATGTTTTTTATACATTTTGTGTTTCGTGTTGCGTTTCGATTAAAAAATTCTGATTAGACCGCTTAAGTTCAAGCGCGTCCTGATTGAAATGACATGGAATTCGTATTTATAATCGACTCGCGCTCGCCTAGCAGCGCGAATGACTAGAAAGCTCGTGTCTAACGTTACCGCTCTTGTCAATCGTATAAAATAAACTCGTGAATCAATAATGACAGCCCTTTCACGCGCGCGTGCACGTCGATATGATATGATAGAACGCAGAAACGCGCGCGGGCGAGGAAGCGTACGTTTTTCCTGGCGGCGTGGGTGGGGAGCGGAGCGGTTTCTTCTCGGAAGAAGGCGACTCGCCTCTGCCTCCGTCGTAAATCTGTCTTTCGGGCGACGACGGGCGCCCGCGCGAATTTATGCCCCGTCGCGGAAACTGGGCCACCGCGCTGCGTGCCGAAGCAGGCGGCGGCGGCCGGCGGCGAGACGGATAAAAGTCCGCCACTTGTTGCTGCTTTAAGCGACGCGACGCGATATTCCTAACGCGAAACGGAGCGAACCAGTGACTCGCGAGGAGATTCCGCGAATGCGCGCGCTCTCGTCGTCGTCGGTCGTGGGATGAAAGTAAAGGGGTGACCCAATGGAAAAGAACGCGGCAGAATCTGCTCGAGCTATCACCTTCAAGTTCCTTCTCCGAGCAATCTCGCTTCCCTTCTACGATCGTATCGGACATTTTATTCGTAATTCCGCGTATACGCGTTGTCTACTCTCTAAATCTGAATCAGTGATTAATCACTGACATAGTCATCCCAATTATATCACTGATAATCAGTGAAATTTAACCAAAATATCAACGGAGCGTTGAATCTGTATACTTAACTAACTTTGCGTATAAATTCAATATGTATTGTGCAAATGTCGGTATTTTAATTATACATAATGCTAAAACTTTCTTCTTTTTATTTGAATTTCGCTGATTCAGATTTTGAAAGTAATTATTATAAAACATTATGTAAGACCTAAGAACCGCATCTATAAAATTTAAATTATAATGATGGATCTTGTGATACATGCATGGAAGAAAATTGAAAATGAGCGAACTATAGAATTCTGTGTGATCACATCAGTCAGAATTCTAGTTGTTTCAGCTAGAATTATAAATAGATACAACCAGAAAATGTTCTGATTGTCATTAGAATTATTTCAATCGATGTAACCAAACTCTCTTTTTCCGACGTAACTTTATTATCATTATTTTTATTGGGAAATATGTGTACTGTTGGTGTTAGACATGATATTGGGAATCCTTACGACGAAACTATAATACTTGATTTTCGCAAATGCTATCTCGCTCCGTGTCAGGCATAGAGTTTTACGGTTGCGCAAATTTCAACGAATACGACGAAGGACACCACGCGCCGCGCAGTCCCTTTCAAACGCACGAGGACAAACGCGTGTCGCGTGTTATGTGTGACTTACGTTTTTAATTTTGCTCTCCTGCACACACAATTCGTCTCTTGGATTAGATTCAATCTTTGTCCCATAATGGCTACGTTAACGTCGTGTTTCGTTCTCTTGGTTGCCGATCGTCTCTGTCGTCGAAAATAAACCGAGTACTATCTAACGTTCGTGTATTTAAAAAAAAAAAAAAGATAACGTAGAAGCTGCAAGAAATCGTAGAAAGTGCAGCTAAGTGCATTCGCTAACGGTCCACCTGTCTTGAAAGAATGTATGTATGCACAACACGGTAGTGGATATAAACCGGTTTTAAAATGGGCTGGGCTTTGTTATTTTACCGACAAAACAAGTCATTGTGGAGAGGGAGGCGAAACATTAAGATGGAAAGATCGGAGGGACATCCTCCATCCCCTAAGTGGTCACTTTTCACGGTTCGAGCTTGTGTTTCGTTAATAGAGAGCGGCGACTTTTGGTACGGCAGCCCCTTGAAAGAACGAATACAGCT